AGAGACCCCGCTGCTAAGCACCCGACTGCACCGCCCTGCCCGGGGCCCTGGGCCCGGAGGACAGCAGGGGGCTCGCGGCTGGCTCCAGGGCAGTGCCTACAGCATTGCACTTCCTTCTCGGGATTAGCGCTTTGCATCTGCTTCTTTTCTCCTCCATGTTTGTTCTTTGCCCACCAGCAGCTCCCATACCCCCTGCAGGGTGCCAACCACCCGGTTACTCAGGACTGAGGGGCTTTCCCAGATTGGAGGATTTTCCATTTGCAAACTAGCACAGTCCCAAAGCCTACCAGCTTGAGACCGTGACCCGACCCCCTAGCCCCCACAGCCGCCCACGCACTGCCAGCGGTTTCATAGCCGAACAGAAGGAGGAGCTCACATCTTCACAACTTTGGCACCACGCAGAAAACAGACGCCCCGCACGTTGCTCCAGAGACTGCGGAACACCGACGAAAAATGCATTGCGATGCGCACAGAAATCCATCGCTGATTTCAAGAGCCACGCTGCCGTACAGACAAATTCTCCAACACACGCAGCCAAGGTAATTACATGCAAAGCTGGGAGAGGCCAAGCGGTCTAACCCAGTAAACAAACAGCTGTGAACAATTTGGTCGTTCAAAAAGCCCTGGCTTTCTGGCTGCAAAGCCTGGTTTTCCTTCCCTGTCTCTGAGAGCCCCGTGGAAGATCTGAAATTCCACCAGCAAATTCTGTGGGAGCAAGGAGAGGTGCAGAGACCACAGCCCTTGGAGGGGGGCACACTCGGAAAGTGCACCTCGTATTAGTGATCAACAATTCAAGTGAAAGTGTCTGAGAGTAGTCCAGAACGTTCATGGAAAAGTGGAAATGAAAAAGCTACGTTTAGCTGAAGGCAAGGTGCTACAGCAAGCTAAGCTACCCCGTGGGGTGTCTGTGTCCCGCATCAGAGTGTCCTGGATGGGGTCCTGCCTTGGCTTCCAACCCAGCTGCCTGCATGGCCTCCCTGCGAGGCAGCAGATCACAGCTCAAGTGCTTCAGTTCTGACACCTACGGGTGAGACCCAGTGGAATTGCAGACCCCTAACTTTGACCTGTCTCGGTTGTTGTAGGCATTTGGAGAGCAAAGCAGCAGATGAAGGTTCTCTCTCTCTCTCTCTCTGCCTTTCAAATAAATTTAAATAAATAAACAAACAAAATAAATAAATGGTTTTTCTTTAAAAGATAAGTTTATTTGGGTATAAAAAATTTTTTGAAATCCATACATCCAGGAGATCTTGCAAAAGTTCATGGAAAAGTCAAGGTGGCATGTGCCAATGCCATCTCACTACTCCAAGTGATCAATTTCAGTTCACAATTGATCATAATGAAAGGACTAAGAGTCAAAGGGAGCACATAAACAAGTCTAGTATCTGCTAACACCAACCGATAGAATAAATAAAGGGGAGAGTGATCCAACATGGGAAGTGAGATACTCAGCAGACTCATAGAATGGCGGATGTCCTAAATAGCACTCTGGCCTCAGAATCAGCCCTAAAGGCACTCGGATCTGGCTGAAAAGCCCATGAGAGTATTTCAGGCATGGAAAGCCAAGACACTCTGGCAAAAAGATCTCTGTGAGTGAGATCCCAGTGGAAAGAACAGGTCTTCAAAGAGGGAGGTGCCTTTCTCTGAAGGGAGGAGAGAACCTCCACTTTGACTATGACCGTGTCTAAACAAGATAAGAGTCGGAGAACTCAAGGGGCTTCCATAGCCTTGGAAACTCATAACTGGTGCATAGGGAGATTACTGATGCCATAAACAGGAGTGTCAATTGGTAAAGTCAACAACAGGAGTCACTGTGCACTTACTCCTCATGTAGGATCTCGGTCCTTAACGTGCTGTACACTGAGGCTTAATGCTATAACGAGTACTCAAACAGTATATTTCACTTTGTGTTTCTATGGGGGTGCAAACGACTGAAATCTTTACTTAATGTACACTAAACTGATCTTCTGTAAAAAAAAAATAAAAAAAAAAAAAAAAGAAAGGAAAGAAATTTTCAATTCCCAACTTGACTCTCACTGGGATTAAACATGACAATAGGTCTGATCTGATTTCATCATCATTTTAAAAAAATCATCTATTATTTTTCACTTTATGTTTCTGTGTGGGAGCAAACTGTTGAAATACTTACTTAAGGTATACTAAGCTGATCTTCTGTATATTAAGATAATCGAAAATGAATCTTGATGTGAATGGAAGGGGAGAGGGAGTGGGAAAGGGGAGGGTTGTTGGTGGGAGGGACGGTATGGGGGGGGAAGCCATTGTAACCCATGAGTCGTACTTTGGAAATTTATATTCATTAAATAAAAGATAAAAAAAAAAAAAAAAAAGTTCATGGAAAAGATGTGTTATAGAAAAACTACGTGTGGGTTTGCTTTTTTTTTTTTTTTTTTTGGCACCAGAATAAACTTGTCATTTAATTCCATTTTTCCGGGAACTTTTTGGAGTAGTGTCTACTCACAGGCACCCTTGTGAATGGTGCTTTCACAACTATTCTGTTCAGAGCCTTGGCCACTCACATGCTGAGTGAATTTGTGACTCAGGCAGGTCCCAAGGGCTCAGAAGGCACTTCCTTGGGCCTTGAATGAAACTAGCAAGCCAGAGTCCCACCCGCTCCCAACCCTAGGGAATCTGATCCAACATCCACCTACAGATGAGTAAAGTGAGGCCTGGAGTAGCTGGACACTGGGAAAGCTGGGACCTAGAACCCTAATTCCCTGACTCTTTTCACCGACCGAACTCCACTGTCTTCCCGCAGTGCCCCTCCGAATGCACGCCTCTTGCTTCGCAGAATTCCAAAACAAACCTTTCAAGAAGAGTTTGAGTACCGAGTGTGAGCTGCTTTCCTGGACTTGTAATCGCTGAGAGCAAATCTTAGCACAGGAAGAGAGACAGCTGGGTCAATTTCATGGGGCACCAATAATATTCAAACACGGCAGAGCTCTTGTTGCCAACAGCATAGCCCTGACCCTGGTTAAGGGGGGAAAAAAGCAGGCAAACTGAGTGGATTCAATGACAAAATTGTCCCTTCTTCTGCTTTTCAGACTGGACTGGCCCGCCACTCCTCCAGTAAGGCTTTAAAAAGCCGTAAACTCACTCTCACCTTAAAGTCTCCACTCTTGCTCTTCCTTCTGCTTGTTTGCCCCAGAATTTCACATGGCTTTTTTTGTGCCTCAACTGAGCCAATTGGTGCTTGCTCGGCCCCAGTCCCACCTCACCTAGTAGTCTCCAAAATCCGGGCACACCAGAGCCCCTGAGTGTGGCTTTATTTGGCAACAGCAGCTTTGCAGATGTAATTAAGTGAGGACTCGGATGACATCATCCTGCATGATGGTGGGCACTAAATCCAATGACGGTGCCTTAAAACCCTGCATCCCGTGACTCCAGTCTGCCTTGCCAGCCTCAGCTCTGTGGATTGTCTGCTCTGACCATCTGTTCCTGGCAAATCAACCTTTCTACCATCTAAAAAATGTGACTTTAGCATTTCCCCATGCACAACCCTGCCAAGGACCTGGGAAACCCCCCCTCCTCCCACCTGAGCCTGTCCAAACATTACTCATCCTTCAAAGTATGGGTCAAATCTCAAAATTTCCCTTCTTCTGTGGCGCCCTTCCTGATGCAGCCAGGCTGGGCACAAGGTCAGAAAAGACTCCAGCCCCACCATTCACACATCCTGCCATGCTGCCTCGGCATGTATGGGTTTCTCCCTGGAATAAAGGAGCCGTGTTGAGCCATGTTTCCAAGTCGTTCTGTCTATCTGTTTATTTGGATTGTGTTGCTAGTGTCATTTTCTGGCTTCTCCTTGCAGAGTCTTGAGTGATATATGGAATGAGTGACAGTACGTGGAATAAGTGATAGGTCACCTGTGTCGTCTAAACAAACATACAGCATAGTGCTCCGCCATGCTCCCACAGTAACACAGTTCTCCTGGGCTCTGCCTCCTAGGACGCAGGCCAGGCCAACTTTACCGAATGGATTCAGAGGCAGAGGAGGGAAGATGCCCAGTCCATTTTCTCAGGATGCTAAGGTCATTTATTTGATATCTTGATATTTCCAGAAATAATTGGGCAAACATTTGGAGATCCTGCACAATTAAGACAGGATGGCAAAACAAACAAACAAACCCAAACCAAAAACAACAAAAAAGGCAAAAACCAACCTCGCCACCTTCCTTTTGGGGTCACCATTGCTGCCATTGTCACCTCAAGAGCTGCTTCCTGCTATTGGTTGCCTGGAGTCACGTTGAGCTCAAACTACATGACCCTGAAATCGCTCTGCAGAACAGGGAGCACCCACCTTCTGCACGCGTGCGCCTGCACGCACACACACACACACACACACACACACACGCTGAGTCTGGAGGGACACACGATTGTTCTACTAGCAGCGCCTCCATCTCCAGGGCTCAGAATGAGCCAGCGAGCGCTGAGCGTCTCTTATCCTCTTCCCACCCCCTAAAAGTTATCTTCTGTACCTGAAAACACGCTCCTTCCTCACCCAAGCCCCCTCATCTCCTCTCCCCCTTTTTCTGCGTGGCCACAGCCCCTCAGGATTCCACAATCCACCGTTTCAGCACAAGGTTTGGTTCTCACTCAGGAATCAGAAACTGGAAGCGCAGGGAACAGAGTTTTGCCCAAGGTCAAAGTGACTCTGCCCCTTGTGAGACGCTGCACTGCGGAATTTTTGCTACCCAGCCACCCAGTTGAACCACACGCAAATGCAAAGCTTTTGTTTAAAACACTCTTCACGAAAGCCTCCACCCATCAAATAACTGAAAGCTCAGACCGCTGATCAGATTGTCAAACCACCAGGTTGTCAGAAGCAGTTTGAAATTAGGCTGTCAACCGTCTGATGGTGTCTTAGGAACAGACATCAATTGTGGTTGGCAACCCGAGTGGAAATAGCTATGGAGACAATGACGACCCTGGCGAAGGTGCGTATGTTCTTCCCCGCCTTCTGCCTTCTAAGGTAGGGGGGCTACTCACCCCATCACTGCCCTACACGGTCTCCTCCTGCTGGAAACACGAGTTCGCCACTGAATTCACTTCCAAACAGCAGTTTACCGTAATATACTTAATTTCATTTTCTGATCCATGTACTTCAACCTTGTATATTGGCACACACTAACTATAAATACACCAAGGAGAAAGGTCCTGTGTAATCTGGCCATTTATGGCCACAGCACTTGGGGAAAGAAACTTCGAATTCGCTCCCATAAATTAAACGAGTTCTCTGTAAGAGCTCTTGTTGAATTATAGCCGACACCAGTATGAACAGCACAGCCACACGACTGAATTCTTTCCAGCGCCAGCTCCATAATTCATCCTCTCCCACATGTCCTCCATCCTTGAACTTAGCAGCTTTTTCTTAACAAGAGTCACTTACAGGATCCTAATTGGGGATCTAAGAAGAAATAAGTTTAATAACCACTCCAAGACTCACAACATTTCAAGGAACAATTTTATTGTTTCTTTGAGAGGCAGAGAGAGAGAGAGAGAGAGAGAGAGACTTCCCAAATGCCCACAACAATGTGGGGGTGGACCAGGGTCAAAGCTGAGATTTGGGAACTCAGTCCAGGTCTCCCATGTGGGTAGAAAGAACCCAGTTACTGAGCCGTCACTGCCACCTCCCAGGGTCTGCATTAGCAGGAAACTGGAGACGGGAGCCGAAGCTGGGTATCAAACGCAGACCCTCTGGTGTGAGGTGTGGGCATCTTAACCACTAGGCCAACCACCTGCCTCCGCATCTTGCATTGAAAGACTATAGGTAAAAGATTGAGTGAAGTGTCTACCAGCTACCGTGCCCGCTACTGAAGTCTCTCACCATTCTGAGTTTCAGTCTTCTCATCTGCTAACTGTTCAAAGGGCTCAATCACTCACAGTAACTTTTATTATCTTCTAAAGTCCCCTTTAGGTATTGTGATACATACATAGCTAGATGGAGAAAAGGAAGGGGCGGTGTTGGCTGGACGGTGGTCTGTACTGAACTGTGACCTCTCCGTAATTCACCTGTGGATGCTCCAACCCCCCGCACCGCAGAACGGGACTCTGCACAGCTCTACTCAATAAACACTTTTCATCATGGTTAACTTGTTACTTGTAAGTAAATAGCTCTTCATTTTATTTAGAATATAAACAGTAGACCTTGGAGTTTGTGGCTTTAACATTTGTGAATTAGGTTCTGCACGTATGATTCCAGAGACAGATAACAGAGGCATTTGCTCTCTGTTTCGTCAGGAATTTGAGTCGTAAGAACCACGACATGTGGGTGATCCCAGCTGACTGCCCACCAGTCTCTTCTTAAATCTGCTGCAGGCTTCTTGGGTTATTAGTGTGTATCCAGGAACTCTGATGAAACAATAACAATTTTACTTCTGGATGAAAGTGGCCTGGAAAGAGAGCCGACTTCTAGTGCTGATAACGTAAATTAAACACAAGAAGTCTCAGCAAGTTGTGCTTCTTATCCAGAAAATAGTAATTCAACATAAATATCTAATTTGATAGTAACACCAGATGGAAAGGCTGTCAATTCTACATTCTGCAGAGAAACAGAACAAGTGATTCATGAGACTGTTTCAAGTGCTCAAATAAAAATTTATTTTATAAAGTAAACTATTGGTATATTTTATGCACTGGTTTAGTCTAATTTATGCTGTGTATATTGCTGTTGGCCACATTCGTATCCCCAGGGGCTTACTTCTCCCAGAGAGGTTTATCAGGTTTCTTTCCGTACCATGGAAGACTTTCCAGAAAATGATCCTCACGTCGGCTGACTGAGACTGTTCTCCACTCCGTGACTCCCGACTGCCCTGTGACCCCCACATCGGGGAAGGACTGCCGACCACTCCGCTGGAAGAGGGGCCGCAGTCTTCCAGAAACTTCAGGCCCCAAGCCCTACTTTTGAGGTCAAAGGAGAGTAAGTTGTTTCAACAATCTTGCCGAGCATTCCCAAGACCACCTTCTCTTAAATAATCTCTTAATTTGTCCCTTTACATTGGTTTTATGGGCACAATATAGAAGCTTGTTTCAGTTAGTACAAGAAAGTATTAGTTGACTGCAGAGTATTTTTTTTTTTTTTACGAATTCTACTGTGGAATTTCTCTCTCTCTCTCTCTGTCTCTGTCTCTTCCTACCTTCTTTCCTCCCTCCCTTCCTTCCTTCTTTCATTTCTTCCTTTCTTTCCCTTCTTCCTTTCTTTCCCTCTCTCCCTTCCTTCCTTCCTTCCTTCCTTCCTTCCTTCCTTCCTTCCTTCCTTCCTTCCTTCCTTCTTTCTTTCCTTCCTTCCTTTCATTACAAATAGTACAGTCGCTAGCCTTCCACACAGCTGCCAAAGATTCCTACCCCAGTTAGCCCCTCCTGCTGGAATAGGGCTGACCCACAGAATCACCAGGGCATTGCAGATACAATGGTGCACGGCTCCAGGATTAGGTTATACAAGAAGTTGCGATTTCTGCCTACCTCTCGGATTATTGTTCTGGGGGAAGCTGGCTGCCATGCTGTAAGGACCCTCAACCACCTCCATGGAGAGGCTAGCACGGCAAGGAACCAAGGCCTCCTGAGTACATCCTAACACTTATTTCCCAGGCATGGGAGTGAGTCCTTGGAAGGAATCCTCTAGCCTCAGACAAACGTTTACAAACCACAGCTTCAGTCAACATCTTGACGGCAATGTTATGAGCTGGTCCACAGAAACTGTATAATAAAGTTTCATTGTTCTTTAAGCCATCGTGCTTTGTAGTATTTTGTCTGCAGCAGTAGAGAACTAAGATAGCTAATTAGAAAGACTTGGCAGAGATTTTCCTAAATACCGTTATAAAGTCCTTGTTTAAAAAGACATACAGTCTTTTTACGGAGATCATCTAACTTTGTTCTCTAAATATTAGCAATCCTTGTCCCTGGAAGGGAGGTGACAAACGGGCCGATGGGAGCCCCCATTTTACTGAAGTACCCGGCACACTCTCAAGCTTACCTCTCTGTCGGGAGAACCCACAGGGTGAGCTCCTGAGTCCCAGACACGGAGTCAAGGTCAAGAGAACTCTACGGTTTCTTCTATGAACATAAAACTTAGGAACGCTTCCCTTTGTTTCCCGGATGTATTTTGATGTAGCACAAAAATCCTTTTTTTTTCCCCCTGTGCCATATGCCAGCATTGATTGACTGAGGTGTAGACTCGGGCGAAACGTTCATTTAATTACACACGAAGCTCCACTCCCAGAACAGAATTTCACTCCCAGAACAGTGGGGTTGTTTTGTCAAACGCTCAAGACCTCAATTTGCCGTTGGCTCGCCCCCAGCGCAGTCATGCGGTCAGTCACGCGAGTTGTCACAAAACACCGGGTGCCGGGTGGGCGCCGCAGCCGGAACCCGCGCTCCCCCCACTCACCCGCCCCGGCCCTCGCTCCCGGGAGCAGGTCTCCAAAGACGGAAATCGAACGTGTGTGTCGGTTCGGACTTAGTTCTCGCGTTTGTTTTGCCCAAAGCATGGAGCATGGCGGCGAAGATGGAGACACCTTCACGGCCTGTTAGTCACGTCTGACCAGCGCTTCTCAGTGGGCTGTCAGATGAGAAAGGCGCCTCCTGCAGCCATCTTAATCAGCGTCCGCCATCTGCGAGGTCACGGGGATATTTCAAACAATTTTCAGCTCTCATTAGTAGAGCGCGGTCCACAGGCAGGTCCTTATCTTTTGTAACTTTTGCTGCCACATCCTGAGACAGGCTCTGAGGGCTGACATGTTCCCCATGGGTCAGCCCGCCGTAATGAGCCAACAGGCCGTGTGGCCTTTGCACTCCCTAGCAGTACATGTTGATGTTAACCTTTCGTGTGGCGAGATGTCGCTTTTACCCTTGGCTTCTGCCATGGAAGTCTCATTATTTCTAATAGGCTGTGGCAATTAGGGTTTTGGGGCTGTCGATCGCAGAGCCCTGGAGCGGGGAAGGGGCGCTCGGGGAGAACAGTTGCTTTTTCTTTACGTGAACAATGTGATGCATAGTTCAGCCCGAATCTGCCGACAGCGAGGCCGCGGCGCACCTCCGGCCGAGGATGGGAAACCCCGCACCCAGCCCTTTCACATGTCCCCTCCGCGCAGCAGCTACGGGCTCTTTCCAACCCCCTTTTGTGCAGAACGACGTGCGTGCCAGATATTTCGGTGCAATGGACTTGGCCTAATAAGGAAGTCATTAAATGGAATTATTTGGGAGAGAGATGGGTCCATTCAAAGAGACCCTTTTTTCGTTTTTCAGAGACAGTTGGCTGTTTAAGGAGAAGGATGACACTGACAATCCCGCATCTGGGTGGCTCAGGGGCCCTCTAGGAGGCTGTGTTGAGCCTGACAGGCCCAAGAAGTCCGCTCTGAAGTGTGATTGTGAAATCTTGACTCCTGGTGCACCTCTCCAGGCGTCAGAACCTGGCGGAGTGTCTCCAGCCGCGGGAAAAGTTGCCCTTCCAGGTTAGAGCAATAAGGTGGTAGAATCCTACAGGCCTGGGAGATAAGAGGACGGAGTACGTAAAAAAAAAACCACAAGGAACTGACAGTCTAACAGAGGCTCAGCACTCACATTCGCTCCCGGTCTGTGACCCGAAGCACTTTCCTTCTTAGAGGGAAGCAAAACAAAATTAAACCAGCTTTTTGCTGCAGATTAGCTGGGGCTGAAGATCAACAAGAAAAGCTTAGGCTAACTTGTAGCCATCACATGGTGAATGTTCTACATCAGGACAAGATTTTTCCAAACAAATGCAAGAAAAAGCCCCCATATTAATCTGAGTGTTTATGAAAATAACACTTGGGAAAGCCCCTCCAATGACTGTCTCATAAATTCAGAGTGTCGAGTGTCAGGGCATCTGGTGGGCTGCTGTTGAAATAATCTCTCCTGCTGACACAGCAGTGTGGTTGGTGTCTGAGCGCCCTCACTCTGGGAGCTGATTTACTCTTTGTTCTGCAAAATGTAAGTTCGTTTCAGTTGGCTCCGTCACAGTATAAACATTTGATAGCTGTAAGGTGGAGAGTTCAAAATGCATACCCAATAGACATGGAAACTTAATACTTCACTGAGTAAGAAACTTCCAGAAGAGACTCAGGAATCTCCTCTCCCTCCCTCCCTCTCTCCCTCCCTCTCTCCCTCCCTCCTTCCTT